GCCTCTGCCTCCCTAGTGCTGGGATTAAAGGCATGCGCCACCAACACCCTGCCCAACTTGTTGTTAGTAGTAAAAAAAAATAATAATAATTTTAAAAAGACAGTTGGGAATATGGATAGAGTTTGTTATAATATATTTTTACGTCAAGAAAAATATGCACCATTATGCTCTGAAGCATTTCCGTAAAATTACACACATACATATGTGTGTGTGTCCTTGAAAACCTGTATTTATATGAGAAGATTCAAAGTGTAGATACTAAATAAGCTAAAACATTGTTGAGCTCTTCCCCTTGCCCGTTTTCTTCATTCCTACCAAACAGCTCATTCTTTGCTCTTTTAAAGTCGGAACACTGAAGTGAACAGAAATGAAAGGAGGAGGAGATAGAGTGCAAAGCCTCATTCTATGATGGTCCACACTTACAAAGAATCGTTAATGGGAATAGGATATCCACATTAATGCTTTCAGAGGTTGCCTGCTCTGAAGACCAACCTGCTGTTAACTAGCAGGGGGCAATGTTCAAACCATAAAACAGGTTAATATAAAGCAATGACATTTGCTCTTAAGAACAAATGTACATAATGCATTTCACTTTAGGCATTCTGTCTTCTGAATCATATAACATCATATCATAATAAAGGCCACAACTTACATATAAATTCACAGAAAAGTAACCATAGCTTGGAACACCATAAGCACTGCAATCATAATGAAAAATGAGATGTTTATTTGTTGTTGTTTTTTGTTTTTTGACAGGTTTTCTCTGAGTAGCCCTGGCTATCCCAGAACTCAATCTGTAGACCAGGCTGGCCTTGAACTCAAAGATCCACCTGCTTATGCCTCTCAAGTGTTGGAGTTAAAGGTTTGCACCACTACTGCCCCAAAAGCTGTTTAAAGAACAAAACTCTCCTAAAATTAAATCCCTTTCTGTTGCTCTTTCAACTCAGGCCCATGCTCCATGCTCCATGCCCCCAAAATATAATTAAGTGCATTTGGATGTGGACAAATTAGGCATAAAGAATCTGGGTGATCGAACATAAAGTGGCCAACCTGATCTAAAGATAGAGCAAAACTTCTTAAGATTTAGCAAGTAGAACAGAAAGCTATCAAACCAAGAAGCATATCCTTTCTGAAAAGATAGGCAGATGACTAAAGCTTGCTGGCCAACCAGCCTAGCAGAATCCTTGAGTTTCATGTTTAGTGAGAGACCATCTCAAAAACTGAAAGTGAGAGCAATGGAAGAAAGACATCCAAAACCAGCCTCATGCCTCCACCTCACACAGACACAGCCTCATGCCTCCACCTCACACAGACCCATGCACACTTACACACTCCAGACAGAGATGGAGGAGAGGGAAAGAGAAATTTTACAGAAGAGTTGGGAGTATGGATGCTACTTTCATCCTTATTCAAGCAAACAAACAAAAATGGGTAAAGGACAATTCAAAACTTGAAGACAAGATGTTTGATAGTGATACTTTTCAATATTTACATGTAATATTGGCTATATATTGTTAGGTTTTTAAAGTATGTTACTTGGAGATATATTGCATTTCAACATATGAAGTGATAGTTCATCAGAGATTTATTTCACAATTAAAAGGAAGGCATATAGGAAAGAATAAATGATTTGCTTTGAGTTGATAATTCTTGACCCTAAAGAAGGAGACAGAAAAAACATTTAAAATTTCTTTTTTATTTTAACATTTGACATAGAAGGAAAGAGAGAAGCTGAATGATTTATGGTCAGGTCATTGGATATTTCACTGATTTCCTAACAGGAAGGGAAAACTAGGATGTAGCAGGAAAGGAAGAATGGGGTTTGGAAAGATCACTCAGCAGTTAAAAGCACTGATCGAACTTCCAGAGGACTTGGGTTCTATTCCCAGCACCTGCATGAAAGCTCACAACCATTAGTAATTTCAGTTCTAGAGAATCAGATGCTCTTTTGACATGCACACAAGTATATAAAATATATATACATCCATACAATAAAATAGATTTAAAAAATTTTAAAGGTTGCCGGGTGTTGGTGGCGCACGCCTTTAATCCCAGCACTCGGGAGGCAGAGGCAGGTGGATCTCTGTGAGTTTGAGGCTAGCCTGGTCTCCAAAGCGAGTGCCAGGATAGGCTCCAAAGCTACACAGAGAAACCCTGTCTGGAAAAACCAAAAACAAAAATAAATAAAAAATAAAAGTAAAATAAATAAAAAGTTTTAAAGGAAGAAAAGGAAAAGATTATCTAGGGAATAGGTATTGTGTAATAAGTAAAATGAGAGTGAAAACAAATGCCTGTAGCCCCATAGTCTTCACTTTAACTGACCAAGTCACCAAACAGCCTTCATTCCTCAGAGACAAGGGACCAGTTGCATTGAAGGAGCTTCATCTCAAGGCAACAGATAGAAACTCAACAGATTTAAGGGGGAGGGGAATGTTCATAGGCAGACTGAGCTAACCTCTGCTGCCTTCTCTAAAAACCCAAAACAGCTAAGTAGCTAGAAAACATAATACTGCCAGCATCCTACTCTTAGCTCAAAGTATATAACAGAAGAATTTAAACACTTAGCTGAAAATCATGCATTTACAAGACTTTCTACCTAGACAACTATTAGCACAGAGAGATTAATTACAAATTAACCATTTAAAATAAATACACTTCATGCAGTAGATATAAATTTCACTTTTATCCAAAAGAAGACTTACAAAAAGAAAGGCATCTAGAAATGATTCTGGGAAGATGACAATAAAATAAGTGCCAGATGTGTATCACACTATCTAATCAAGAGCGGTTTGTCACAGTCTGCCTGATGTAACTATTTTGGAACTCTGAAGTCCACTGAAGGCTTACAACTTCCAGAGGAAGTCTTGTCTAGACTGATTGATAGTAATTTTAGTCCATTTCAGCTCATAGCTCATGCCCACTTCTGTAGTCCCTTTAGGAAAGCACCCAGGTTCTTGTTCCTGGAGGAAAAGCCAGGATGTTCAATAACAAACACGTGTTTATTCTTCACATACAAAAACCAATTATATGTTCCCCTTTTCCTTTTCTCCCTCTTTCCTTCCATTTTATTATGTTTTGTGGCAGTGGTGGATGGATACAGTGGTTCACATGCAAGCCGGAGGTTAGTTCCCACACTGGGCTCTGCATTAGGATTACTAATCATTACTTCTAATCACAGGGACACTGACATAAAGGGGAA